TTAACCCCACAACTTTCCTTTTTGCTAGAATTGCACACTACTGCTACAGTTTTAAATAGACTTTGTTGTTTAAACTATACATCCAGGAAAATCTAAAAAAATTAAAGAAACGTGCATAAAAATGATTGCATAGCAGAACATGAACATTAACTGCAAACAGTAAAGAAATGAAAGTTAGAAATACTATCAAATATACAAAGGTTCTAGAATGAACCCTTTGAACACATTCCACAAACAGTACTTAAACCCATCTTTGTTTTCTACAGTCAAGGCCTACATTTCTAAAATGAAAATTGGGGGGGGGGGACGACACCCTCTAAAAGGAATCATTCTCCCACAGTACCTCTTATTCTCATCTGTAAGCAAGCGGTCTGAGATTTGTTTAAAGATGCTAGCTTCTTATTCTGAAATGACATTGGACTTTGAAGACACTTTTTATTGCCTCCCCCAAATGATCTTTAAATACTAGAAATTATAAGTATTTAAGGGTATTACTCCCTTATTTTTAGTTATGTCTTACATTATTGACAACAAAGTAATGTGGCTCTTGCTCAAAACTAATCCTTTTCCCAAAATTACTTTAAATTTCATGGCACCACAGAATCACCTAGGATGGGAGTGTCATCTTTCGTCTTGTCTCACACTAATAAACTGAGGTGTACAGAACAAGCCTCCCTCATTAGGAGGGCAAACTGATACAAATGCACACGCCACCAAGTGCTGTAAGCATCAAAATTCAGTTTTGTTTACAACTATATGCATACACAAACAAAACCTACTTTCAGTTTACTTGCTTTTAACAGCAGTAAAAAACAAAACCCAAGAACCTATGTAACAATGATCAACAATACTCCTTAAATTTTAGACTAACTACACAGGAACATTCTTTTCCCCTTAAGATTATTTCTGCCATCATTGACATGCTCAAAACCTAAGGAGTTTTTCTGATGTTTTCATGGTTCTAAATCTTAGAAACCATGGGGGCGGGGGGAGAAGGGGGGAAGCAGTGAAGGCTCCATGTTTCAGTGACAAAAATCTCTCTGAAAATGCTACTTAACCCAGCTGGAAACCCAGTTTTCCCCAGACAGTGGAGTTAACAACAGAATTATTCCACACTGCATTATAATTATCATGGGCTTAGACATCTTGACAAGTCATAAAAGTCTACCCTGAACCTACATGTGTCTGAGCAGTCAGTGTTGTAATGTGGCTACAACTTCAGTTTTGTATCACTCTATCTTATTAGCAAGCTACATTTCTAGGTTAACAGTTCTACCAAATATGGATATGAAGATTTATTTTTAATAAGACAATGTTGCAAATTATGGTCACCAACATCTTTTCACCAAATACTTCAAGCATAAAAAAATGAAAATCTTTACAAAAATATACAGACACCACAAATTGGTAGCTGCCCATAACATTAAACAAACTGGACTCTTAAGAGTGGCTTCTCAACAGCATATCATTTTAATTATAACCATTGCCTGGTACAGGGAAACTAACAAAGTGTTTTTTTTTTTTTTTTTTTTTAAACGTTGCTTGCTGCAGGGCTGGCAGGTTGGAATGGGTTCCAGTCCTTTGACACTGATACATGCCTAGAAAGTATCATGATTTACACTATCAGTGGCCACTGGACTTAGGACTAGTCCAAGACCTTGATCTAGATTTTGACCTAGACCTAGACTGTGATCTTGACTGAGATTTGGATCTAGGTGGTTCTTTTTTCCTTGATTCCTTTTTGTATCTTGAGCCAGACTTATAATGTGTTTTGGAATCTGTTTTAGAGGTGCCTCTAGTTTTGGTGTGAGATGCAGACCTAGAACGTGATTTAGCCTTCATTTCTTTCTTGGGCTGGGACTTGGACCGTGATCTTGAATTGGATTTAGATCTTGAAAAAGATCGATTTCGGTGTTTGAATCTTTCAAAACAGAGGAGAGATACAATTAGAGTAAAAATTAGATTCTATATTAATCAAATTTGTTATTTTTAGAGCAAAAGTTCATTCTGAAATTGAAAAAAACATGAATCTTTTTCAAAGCAAAATTATTTACCTATCATTGTCGGAATGGCTTCTGCTACGCCGTGGTCTTCCAGTCGGTCTACTGCTAAAAAGCACATCAGAAAAAGCAAACAGTGACAAATGTCTATTTGTAGTCTTAATTTGAAAACAAATCACTAAAATACCTTTAGTCTTAATGAAACATTCAACAAACACAGTGAAAATTTAAAAAAAAAAAAAAAAAGGCAAAAATTTCTTCATCTCAACATCCTATTGCTTTTAAGATAGGGTCTTACAAAGTTGTAAGTGGGCCAACAACTCCTGGGCTCATGTGGTCCTCCTACCTCAGTCTTCTTGGAAGCCAAGCACATGCTACTGTACCAGGCTAAACACATTTTAAAAACACAGATCACTGCACAGCACACTTACTTTCTAGGACTATAAGATCTCCTATAGTTGTAATCAAAAGACCGACTTCTTGATCTCCTCCTTTCGTAACTCCGGCTTCTAGAACGTCTGTATCTGTCATAATCATCATAGCGTGAAGAGCTGTACACATTCCTCCCTTCCTTGGCTTTCATTTGATTTGGTGCTAGGACACAGAAATATTTAGAAACATTAAAAACTTAGCATTTAAACCCTCACACTGTAGGGAACATTTCCTGCATCACTTTTTTTTTGTCTTTTTGAGACAGGGTCTTCCTGTAGCTCCAGCTATCCTGGAACTCACTATGTAGACTAGGCTGGCCTCGAACTCACAAAAATCCGCCTGCCTCTGCCTCCCATGTGTTGGGATTAAAGAAAGGCATGCGCCACCAGGCCTGGCCCCCTGCATCATTTTTTTAGACTAAAGGAAGTAAAAGTGTTGTAACACAAGAAACAATTTTATTTTGGTATGAGAAGTATCTAGAGTGATTATCGTTTCAAGACATGAATCAGAACACTGCTTTATGTTTTAAAAATTGGCTGTTTTCAACGTCTTCTCACAATCTACTCACACAGATCACACAGCTGAGGTAATGCATACAAAAGCAGAAAGGAAGCAACACTTATACTTGGAGACAAGGCAACACCATGTACCTTTGACTAACCTGAACTCTCTATGTAGACCAAGCTGGCCTTGAACTAACAGAGATCTGCCTGCTTCTGTCTCCTGAGTGGGTGGCTGGGATTAAAGGTGAGTGCCATAACATGTGGCTTCTGCAGCTATTTTAATTTTTTAGTATCTTAAAACTTTTTTCATTTATTTTAGTGTGTGAGTGTTTCATCTGCAAGTAAGTGCACCACATGTGTGCAAACCCATGGAGGTCAGAAGAGGGTGTTGGATCTCTTGGAACTGGATGGTTGTTAGTGGCCATGTGGGTGCCGGGAACCAAACCCTGATCAGTCAGTGCTCTTCACACTGAGCTCATTTCTTTTAGTATATTGACTAAGTAAGTCCGTGTGATAGTTGGGACAGAATTCAAATTTAGGTCGACATGACCCCAAAGCCTAGAGTCCTAAGTTATTATGATGTAGCTAATATATGGTGTATACTTGCAATACTAGTTTAAGAGCTAGTCTAGATTTAATCTAGATAGCAACCCCAGTCTAACTGTACTGAGTTATTTTCATATTCACGCACCACACTCAATTATCCTTTTAGTATTTTTATGAAAATGAGGAATTACGAGAACCAAAACCTAACAAAGTATCTAAAATATGATTTATCATACATGTTAGGCATAGGGTACTTACTCTTCCGATCCCCCTGTGCAAACTGTATTTCGATTTGTCGCCCACAAATCCATTTTCTGTCCAAATTATGTAAAGCATCTTCAGCATCACGAACATCCTCAAATGTGCTAAATGTTAAGGGGCTTGAGAAGTTTTGTGAACTTTGATAATGAATGAAAATTTGGTAAGTCTGGAATAACTCAACAATCTCCCAGTACTGTTAAGCCAGACCCTACTTACTACTTGGCTGGCTCAGCCATTAATATCACAGCATAAAAGCACTTGTGATTCCTAAGAGCTATACTTCAAGAAACATGTAAATACAAGGTACAGTAAGATTTGTTACAGCCAAACCACCAAGTTATCCTATTAAAAAACTTCCCCATGTTTTAAGAATTAACTTTATGAAACAAGAAAAACAAGTCAGCCAATTCTATACTGGATACTAAAAACTTTCTTACAATGAAATAAAGTTTCCATATTTATTTCACACGAAAGCCAGCTTGTGTGAGCAAACAAGGCATGCCTTATGAGATGAAAATATCTAAAAATGTTTATATAGGTAATACTATTTTTATATATTGCACAAAGACAGGCATGTTAGCCATTTGTGGGTATGAAGTCAGAGTCAAGCAATATATTCAATCAGTATGCCAAATGCTTATTATATCCATGCAGACTGTAAAAGTAATGGCATACCATTTTAAGGACTCCTAGACTGAAAAGTCCTAAGTATGGTACCAAATATGTAGCTTCCTGTAAAAAAAAAATGAGTTTCAGACAGGTCTGCTACCTGAGAATCTAAAGGCCGTATTTAAGCAAGAGCTACTGGCATTCTATCTTCATCTGAGAAGCAAAGCTGCCCTGCTCTCTCCTGTCAGCAATAGAGACCTCTGCCTGGGATGAAAATTATTTTGCCCAGACAGATCTCCTTTAAAAAACACCATTCTAAAGGAAGCCAAGCACACTCAAAGTCTTGTATGAGATATAAGGGTCTGAAAGGGAGCTAGGCTGAGTTTCTGAGTTTGGGCATATGATCTTATTCCTCACCCCCCAATCACTATTCTAGGCAGATCCAATTCTATTTCTTAATTTTGAACATTGAGAGTACAGGTTTGGAAGGCTGATTTAGAAAACATCCCTGAAAAGCCACATTCAAGACTGACATAAAATGATCTGTGTCAGTCTGTTACTGGACTTCCTACCTTTTGTTAAGGCCACAGGTTTCCAGCTTTTTCTTAAGGCCATTATGTGTAGGTTAAATAGGTTTCCCCAAATCTGAAATATGAGTAACTGTGCTTTTTGCATTAAAAAGGCTAGTCATTGAGAACCTTGAATGCTGTAACCGAACATCTCTCAAGGTTAATTGTACTTAAGTTCTAAACTAATAAAATGGCATCAGTTCACTTAATGGGTATACCGCTTTGTTCTTCAGGGACAGTATAATTTAAAAAAATGTTTTATATCGAGCTATAAAAATTATTAAGAATAAAGCATTCTTGGATGCTATCTTCAAAAACAGAATCCTGGGCTACCGCTTAAGCTAAGACTAGGAAGAGAAGGCAAACTGGGAATAGTGAAGAAAAAGACAAAGAGAGAGGGGGCGGCCAAGAATTACTAGACCAATCAGAGAGAAACCTTCACCAAAATGAAATTGATAAGCTTGTGGACTTATTAACTCTACTTTGGATTCCTTTGTTTAACTACCCCTTTCTGTCTCAAGTACAATACACTATTGAAGTAGACGACTGCCGACACTGTTCCCAGGCAACCCCAAACCACCTCCACCCCCAAATCAGATTGCCACTACACTGTCCTTGATCACAGGCCCTGTACAAGCAGCTTTTGGCCTTTCCCTTTATGTCTCACCAGAAATTCTTAAGGTGAAAGTTTCCAGAAACTCACTGAATTTGAGCAGTAAATTTTCCTGGCTTCAAAAATTCACAGCCTTGATTCTGCCTCCCCACCTTTCCTTCTTTTCAGGGCAATGACCTCACAGAAAGGAAGAAATAACACCACCTGAAACTCTAGGTCAAAGATGGATTTCCCATAGATCCTGATTACTCATACCAAGGAGAAGGTCTCTGCAATATATTCAAGGCCAACTGATCAGCTGCAAGTGCTAAGGCAGTGCAGGGCCAGCAGGCTTTATAGCATTAAACTCCAAAATGTTAAGTGCCTGTGTGTTTCCAGCAGCATTAAAAAACAAAACAAAAAAACCTATATATATTTCTAGTAGTTCTACCCTAGACCACCCCAGCTGTTTCTCAGTAGGCTCCAGTGCATGCAACTCTCTTCCCTTTAGGCAGGGTTCTGTGGTTGAATCTCAGAACTTCATACTACTCCCAAGAGCCATTGATGACCTGTTCTAAAACCAAATTATGCTGATTTTAGCTTAACTGTTACATCCTGACGAGCTAAGAAAAAGCGCATTTATACAAGACCACAATCACAATATCAAAGGCCCACACAATCAAATTACAGGTTTTGTCACTAGACCAAACCAGCATAATTTTGAAAATTAACTGCTTACAAAACATTAAAAAGGAAAAGGAGGAAAAAAAAAAAAAAAAAAAAAAAGGAAAGTAGTTATTCTGTAGGATACATCAGGAATGACTCCTTTAATCTTGGCCATCATTCAACTTCATCTTGACCTTTAACTCTTTTAGTGCTTGTCAGAAGGACTTGTCATGAGATGCTTGGTCAAATATGACAGATGGCTTTATCTTTAACTTTGAAAAACAACCTTTTCCCCCTTTGTAGATAAAGCGAGGCTTTGTCTCCCATTAGGCTTGTCCTTCTTCCAGCTTTTCTTTATTTTTTCTTTTCCCAAACTCTCCCTTCTCTTCAAGCCTGATCCTTAAGAGGTCTTTGGCTTGTCTACTTGCCTTAAGTGTTGAACTCTACTCTAAAGGTTCTTTCATGCTTTCTCTTTGGGGTCGCCATAACTGTACAGCTTTACATTCTGAGGTAACAACAGAGGACAGCAAATTAGGGGACAATATTAAAGAAGTTTACCTCATTGTTATACAATTTGTTTTTGATCAAGTGATTCAAATTAACAAACAAGATTACTAAACTTTAACTGCTAAGCACAAGAACATATTAACTTTCAATTTGACTTACATTAAAGGTGGTAGCAACCAGTGTATTCAAATTTAAACCACACATTATAATCACTGATTTGAGTTTCAGCAGCATGGATGGGAATTTAAATGTTTATTTTTGGATTAAGAGAGCAACGTGAGTCAGAATTTTAAAAAATTTGAAGACATAAGACATTAGAGGACAAAAATAGACTATGTTTTAGATGTTACCACTTACATAAACTTGAATTTCAAACTTCAACACCCCTCACTAATCATCCATCTGAAGAAAGGATATTGAACATAAGCAAATCCTCTTGGACGTCGAGTGTAGAAATCAAGTGGAACATACACATCAACTATAGGACCATAACGACCAAATTCTCGCCGCAAGTCTTCAGACCTAAAATATCACAAAAAGATCTCAAATTTTTATGTCTGTGCCTTTCCAACTGTATTTCAGTAATCTTTTAACCAATATAAGGGACTGTGCCTGATGATAACATGGGAGTCCCAGCTGTATCTGGTAGGCTCAAAAACAAGTTTTCCGAATCACAACTTAAGAGCCAACTTTAAGAACATCCAAAAAGGCCAGGGTGAGGCAGCACAGGCATTTAAATCCCAGTTCTCAGGAGGTGGAGGTAGGCAGATTCTGTGTTCAAGGACAGTCTGGTATACACAGCAAGTAAGAAACAAAAGCAAAACTGTAACCCAAGCACTGGAAAAGCTGAGGCAGGAGGGCTGTCACAAGTTCAAGGCCAGCTTGGGCTAAAGTGTGAAAGGGAGAAGAAAAAAATAGCACTCTGTAAAGAGCTGGACATGGTGTCTTAAATTTGTAATCCCAGCACCCAGCATGAGGACAGTAAGGCAGGAGAGACTGGACTAGTTCAAGGCCAGCCCAGGCTACATCATAGCCTGTATGGGGGAGGTAACAGTGTGTCATCTTACTATTTTACATTATACCAGGAAGCCATCATGAGCCAATCACAAGTTGCCCAAACTGGCTTGGAACTCAAGGCAATTTTCCCGACTCTGTCTCCCAAGTGATGGAATTGCAGGCACTGACCACCATGCCCAGTTTAGCCTGTATTTTCTCAATAGGGTTAGACAACAGCAAGTAGGGAAGGTCTGAAGTAACAGTCACAATAAATCCAATTCATGTGTCAAAATGACAAGAGTTTTTACTATCGTTTAAAACAGAAACAAAAATCACGTAAAGCTAATGAACTTCAGATTCACAAATATAAGGCCTAATCCTGTGTTAAGATTTCTTTCAGACAATTCTGGGCATGAGAATTGCAGAAAACAAAGCCTTTGGGGGGGGGCGGGGGCGTCTCATTATGTAGGCCAGGTTGGCCCGGAACTCCAGAGACCCGCCTCCCTTTGCCTCCTCGGCGCGGGGATTAAAGGCGTGAGCCACCACGCTGGCAACAAAGCCAATCAAAAGTAAGGTCTTCATCTAAGTTGCCTATAGAGGTACTAATGGGAGGGTCTCAGCACTCCCTTCCCAAGACACCAAGACTTCCGCGAAACCGGAAGGAACACATTGAACGGGAAAAATTTTAAATTCTCAAATCCCAACAATTCCTTTCTTCCTATCTCTAACCCACTAAACACCAAACATAAATAGCTAGGGAAATTAAAGCTAGCAATAAATCTGCACCTCCCCCCCACCGAATCCCGTTATTTCACTGCGAGCCCATCTCTTTAATTTTCATTTAGAGACAGGGCATCTCTTTGTAGCCAAGGCTGGCCTCGAACTCACGGCCATTCTCCCGCCTCAGCCTCTCCAACAGATGGGATTTACAGGCGTGAGCCACCCCAGCTCCCTCCCACCTCAAGCAATTTTTATAGAACAAAAAAAATTCCTTTCGGGCCGAGGGGGGCGTGCACCTCACGAACCGTGGTCTTCGATCAATGGGGGCGGACGTCCGGCCTGCGGGCCGCGAGCACGCGGGAAGCGCCCCCTAGAACCCGGCCCGCAGCCCACACGCCGGGCGGCTCAGCCCGGCCCTGGCCCCACCCTCACTCCCTCCGGCCCGCTGGAGCAGGCGAGGCCGGCGGCTTGGCCTAGTCCGGGCTCCCAGGCGGGCGTGGGCCCCGCCATCTTCGCCCCGCCGCCGCTCGCTGCTCTCCGTGCGCCCGCGACCTCCTCAGCGCAGGCCCGGAGTACTTAGCCCCTGTCCTCTCACCTGGTGTCGTCCGCCACGTTCCTGACGAACAGAGACGTGTTGGGAGGGCGCAGGTAGCGGGACATGGCGGCAACGTGAGTGTCGGCCGGCAGCGCTAACGGGTTCAACAAACCGTCCGCGGCTTCGGCGGCGGCTTACATTCACACACACATCCACACACCACGCACACACGCGCACACACACTCGCACAGAGCCAGCGGGCTGCGCTACTGCAACTGCTTCTTCTCGCGAGACTTCGCTCCCGCCTCCACCCCTCCTCCCCCACCTAGCTCCGCGCAACGCCGGCTCTGGTAACGGTTCTTTCCCGCGAGATCTCCAGGCGCGCGCATGCGCACTGCGAGGCCTGGCGCACGCGCCGCAGTCTCAGTTCCATTCATTGGCGCCTGGCGCTGCCTCTTCCCTTCCCCCCTCAGCCGGTTCTTTCTTCCTTTCGCGCTGCATTTTCCCGCCCTTTTCTGCCTGGCCACCGCTCTCCCCCTCCCCAAATTGGGAAGCGGATGTTTTAAACCCCACTGCCAAACTACTAAATGGCTTGGTGTTAAAACAGAACCTGGAGAAGTTGAAATTATGTCTGGTCCAAGTTGTGTCCAGGTTTTTTTTTTTTTTTAAATCACATTTCTGACCAGGAGCTTCTTTGTAGTGAGTGTGGACAGGGACCAGGGGGTCTAGAGCTATCAGCATGGAGGACGTACTCCCTGTGCTCACCCCACACCTGAGTCACCAATGCAGGCCGTTTCCTCCTGATGAAGAGTGAGCCACGTCTCTGTATTTGTTTCTAATGGTTTCCTGGGTCTGCAAAGTTCTTAAATTGCAGTGGCTCTCATTTTGTTCGCAGAACCGTTTTCCATGATGAAAGCCCCTGAAGAGGTCTTTCGGCAATGCTGGGGATCCAATCTAGGACCTTGTGAATGCTAGTCAAGTGCCCTACCACTGCCCTACACTCCCAGGACTCACTCCCTTTTAATTAAATAAGATTTAAATTTTTTTTTTATTATCTTGCATATAGGTGTTTTGCCTGCATGTCTGTAAGTGCACTGGTGTCATGCAATGCCCACGGAGGTCAGAAGAAGCCGTTGGATCCCCAGGAACTGGAGTTACAGAGGATTGTTCGCTACCATGTGGGTGCTGGGAATCAAACCCAGGTCCTCTGCAAAGCAGCCAGTGCTCTTAACCAATGGGCCATCTCTTTAGCCCCTGTTTTTTTGAGACAGGATCTGGCTTTGTAGCTCAGCCTGGCTTGGAACTCTCAATCCTCATGACTCGCTCACCCCAATAAACCCTCTAATCTAGCTAGCACTGCGCTCGTCTGTCGTCTGTCTGTCTCTCTGTCTCTCTCCTCTCTGTCTCTGTCTCTCAGTATTGGAGAATGAACCCAGAGTCACATGCCAGACACTCTTCCACTGAGCTGCATTCCTAGCATAGACAATACTTAAAGAATCCTAAAGTAGCCAGGCTGAGTGGTGCAACTTTTTTTTTTTAACCCCAGCACTCAGGAGAATCAATGAGAGTTCAAGAGTTCAAGGCCAGCTTGGGCTACATCATGACACCCTGTCTCAAAAACAACAACAAAAAACCCCAAATGTGCTAGAGAGATGGCTCAGTGGTTAAGAGCACTTGCTGTTTTTGCAGAGGATCAGAGTTTGGTTCCTAGTACCCACACAGCAGCTCACAACCTGTAACTCCAGCTTAGGTGATCTGACACCCTCTTCTGGCCTCTAAGGATACACATGCACATACACACATGCACATACACACATGCATACCCATACACAAAAATAAAATATCCCCCAAACCAACATCCCCCACCTTGTCTGAGTTAGAACTTCAAATGGAGAAAAAGACGCAATAGCACACATTTCTCTTTTATAAAACATATCACAGAAGCCTCTGAAAAGCTGTAGGTTCATGGAGAGGATGAGAATGAGGGAAAAAAAAAAAAAAAAAAAGGAAAAGCAGAGAGTACCTCTTGGCCAACTGGAGCTTGAGTTAATCAGGCAATTTACCAAACTACAGGTCTGCTGAGGGGGTAACGTGGAAGAGGATTTGGCAGCACAACACTCCACGAAAGTACTGCCCAGTGTGATAACAGCCATTTTTGTTGTTGTTTTGTTTCCATTGTTATTTTATTGCAAGGTGGTATAATTAATTACAAATTTAAACTATCATTTGGTCACTTGGTAGTGGGCAAGGAGTTGCTGAGAACTGCTTATTCAGTGTGATCACCAAACAACTCCAAATGCAGACTAGGGATCAGATATATCTGATTAATAGATTTAATAGATTAAATTCACGAAGCGAACCTGGAGCATTTCTTAGCATAGATACACAATCATTTCAATAGCCGTACAGGGGCTAGAGAGGTGGCTCAGCGGTTAAGAGCACTGGCTGCTCTTCCAGAGGACCGGGGTTCAGTTCCGACAACTGCTTTGAGCATTGCACAACATGGGTGTACTTATATACATGCAGGCAATACACTCATACACAAAAAATAAAATCAATAAATAAATTTAAAAATAACAAAGGTATTAGTACTTTGGAACCACTTTTCCAAATCAGTTGCGTTCTGGAGTTATCTAATGGATGCCCATTTCACTTCTTCTAGTTGAGCAGTTTTTTGTTGTTGTTGTTGTTTGTTTGTTTTGAGACAGGGTCTCTCGGTAGCCTCAGCTAGGCTGGAACTATGTAGATCAGGCTGGCCTTGAGCTCACAGAGATCTGCCTGCCTCTGCCTCCCGACTACTGGGATTAAAGGTGTGCACCACCATGCCTGGCTATACACATAATTTTAAAAAATCTTAAAAAAAACCCCCACAAACTTCAGGGATTAGCCCAAAATGTACTTTTCCTTCATAAACACAAAGAGAAAGTAGCGGGGCAAAGACTTGGCTACTCTGTGTGAAAGATTCTTGTTGCCTGTCATACCGCTGGTCACAGGATGGCTGCCTTCTCCAGACACTAGGCCACTGTGGGGGCAGCAAAAAGTGCTGCCTGGGACAACATGGTCCCTGAAAATCCAGGCAGCAGTCTTTGCATTTGTGACTCTTACTGGAGACTGTTGAGAGTAGGAGAAAGATGGCTGCTTATATATCTCAAGAGAAGAGAGTATCATACCCTCCCTTCAGTTTTCTTGACTTTTCTTGTTCTTCCTTTCTTTCCTCCCCTCCAAAAAACTTCTTTATTTAAAAAATATTTAATTATTTTTATTTTATGTGTATGTGTGTATTGCCTGCATGTAGGTAAGTACACCCGTGTCGTGTAGTGCCCTGTTGTGCAGTGCCCTTTCGTGCAGTGCCCGTGGAGGTCAGATCCCCTGGAACTGGAGTTGTTAGCTGCTATGTGAGTGGTGCTGGGATTTGAACCCAGGTCTTCTGCAAGAACAGCCAGTGTTCTTATCCTCTGAGCCATCTCTCCAGCCCCATTCTTTCTTTCTTTAGAGACAGGGTCTCACTTTATACTCACTTTATTAGTGCTGGGCAGCCAACCTGCCATTCACTATATAGACTAGACTGGCCTTAAACTCACAGAGATCTGCGTGCCTCTGCCTCCATAGTGCCTGGGTTAAAGGCATGTGTCACCATACCAGGCCTTTGCTTTGTTTTTTGAGACAAAGTCCTGCTGTGTATCTATCCCTGGCTGACCTGAATCTTGCTATGATCCTCCTGCTTCTTCATTCCTTGTGCTTTCACAGTGTGCTGCATTCTGCCCAGTTCCAAAGCCGTTTGTAATTTATTTTTATTTTATGTGTATAAGTGTATTGCCTGCATGTATATAGGTGCACCTGTGTTGTCCACTGCCCATGAAGGTCAGAAGAAGGCATCGGATTCCCTTGGAACTGGAGTTATAGATGGTTGTTAGCCACCACCATAGGCTCAAACCCGAGTCCTCTGCAAGAGCAACCAGTGCTCTTAATTGCTGAGCTATCTCTCCAGCCTCCAAAGCTGTTTTTTAAAGGCTCCAATGTTAGTCTCTGAGTTAGAGATTATGTGGACCCTGCACATCTCCTTGAAAATATGATGTTTTGTTGGGATCGTACTAGAAAACCACACTTTCCTTAGACATTATTCTTGGAACTGCACAGACTGAAATGCAAGATGGACACCTATACATTTCCCTGACCCTGAAATAGTTCTTGTTCTGTAGATGATAGCCCAGACACCACCAGTGCATGTTAAAATAGACTCCCTAGGGTCAATTATGTGGTAGCTCTGTCTTGACTTGGCACAGAGTTGATTTTGTTTGTACAATTGTTTAATTTAGACCATTGTCAGTGACAGTGTCTCACATTGTGTCTCTCTGTGGGCAACCAACTAATTAGAAGCTGTGTTGGAGAGCTTTAGTTGTCAACTTGACACGCCTGGGTAGAGGGCACCTCAACTGAGGAACTGTTTCCATTGGATTGGCCTGTGGCCATGTGTGTGGGGCATTTTCTTGATTGTTGAGGGATGTGGGAGGGCCCAGCCCACTGTGGACAGTGCCACCCGTGAGCAGGTGATCCTGTATCATATAAGAAAGCAGACTGAGCATGGGCTGGGGGAGCAAGTCAATGAGCAGCCTATCTCCATGGTCTGTGTTCCAGGTTCCCACCCTGAGTGCCCGCCTTGGCTTCCCTTGATGATAGACTGGGCTGTAAGCCTTTTCTCCCCAAGTTGGTGTTTGGGCAGTGATTTTTTGTTTGTTTGTTTTTTGGTCTTTTGAGACAGGGTCTCCCTGTAGCCCCAGCTGGCCTGGAGCTCACTGTGTAGACCAGGCTGGCCTCTTAACTTACTGAGATCTGCCTGCCTCTGCCTCCCAGACTATGATTTTTATCTCTAGAAGCTCAATTAGGGCATAGACGAAGGCATACTGGGGCTGTCAAAGAGTAACAGAAAAAGATTAGAAAACCTCTTGGTGCCTGGTAATGGGAGAGCTCCAACATCAAGGCCTGATGCCCAGGACCACATGTGGAGTGAGGACACAGCTGGCCCCCAGGGGAGATGAGAGGTCTGTACCAATCAGTCCTTCCAAGACCAGAATCTGCAAATGACAGAGGTCTCTCCTGCCCCCAGCATAAGAGGGAAAGAAAGCCTCTGCTGTGCACAACCTGGGACTTCAGGGGAACGGGCTGTGGGGAATGTAGAGAAGACTGAAACTGCTGCCCAACATCAGGAAGCCCTCCATGCTCTACTCTGCTCCACCATCAACCCACCACCAGAAGGATGGGGAATTGTAGCACATGGTAAGGGTCCATAGCTCCAGCTCACA